AAATATCTTTAATTATTTGTAAACTTCCTGTGAATAAGTAGGAAAAGGATTAGGAAGTACCTGATCTCCAGATGGGAGAAATTCCAGATTAAAAAAACAACAAACAAATCCCACATGCAGTGATCATCACTGTATGGGTCAAAATGTACTGCCCCTTCTACCATAGGTATAATTTGTTACTAGTGATTTAACATAAATTGGATTGATCTACTACCAAAAATCCTGTACTTTAAACACACACAAAATTTAGAACCCTAGAAAGCTATCTTAACCCCATGGTACTATTAAGAAAACACAACTGTTACTTGGTAATCTTGGTATTGTGCAGATATGATGAGTGAATGGGGACCCATAAGTCAATAAAATGTATATCAGCACTTCACTTTAATCTTGTTAATTTTTCCATTGAGTATATATCTTAAACTTCATTAAACCATCTGTCAATTGACTAGACCCCTGGGTTTATCCATTATGCAGCAGTGGTAAAGCATTAAGCCAGAAGCAAAACCCTTACATGTCTGAAATAGGAATTTCCACTGTTTTTAAGTTTCTGACCTAGTTTGCAGTACAGAGAAAGCCAAGGTGTTTATAGCATTAATTGCCGCAGTAAATATCGCACGGTATATTTATTTATTAAAATATTGATGTTAGACTAAGTATTTAACTGTACTCTGATTCTCCCCCATTTTTTTCTGATTTATTAATTGCTGAAAGTCTCTGGTAGAACAATAGTGTCTTGACTAAAATGTCTTTGATCTGCATGGCAGATCTGGACTCCAGTAAAAGGAGCTGTCCCATAGGCACAGCAGAATATCAAGAGTCAAGATCAGTTATGAGGAACTGAGAACAGAATATTGAGTATAATAAACAGCAAGACAAAAGAAAAAGCAAAACAAACTCCAGCCTCATTTTTGATCACAGAGAGAAGAGTAAAGCATATCCTAAGAGTGTCCTGTTCTCCTGTTGTCAAATATTTCTAGTGTAGACATTTCAACATTTATGGAGTTTATTCCAGATTTACATAGATGAAACCAGAAGCTGAATTGAGTTCTTTAATTTTATTATGCTCTTCAAACATGAATACTTCACATGTATATGCTGTATTGTAGGTTATGCTGTCTCTGTTTAGCACAAATACCTCAGTTCCTTAGGGCCCCAAGGTGCTACTGTAACACAAAGAAGAAGAAGAATTAATAGTAGCAGTCTATTGTACATGGAAGCATCAGGTGAGAAAAAAGGCCAGGTTACTAAAATTTGCTTCTTGATCAGAATCTTTGATTCAATTGTATTTTAATGACGTGAAGAAAGGCAATTTGCTTTCATGCTGTGGTTGTATTGCCACAGTCAGCTCCAAATGTCTGGGTCACAGAAGATTGACTTTCAAAGAGCTGATCTCTATAATCACCATTCAAAGTTGGAAGAAATTGACAGGGACTGACGTTTTGTTCACAACAGGTTCTGCATGAACACTTTTTAATGACTTCAGTCCAAAAAGTAAAACAGTAGAAAGAAGATATAAGCTAGAAGTAAATACTAGTTTCCCAATGGAAGTTCGTTCAAGTCTGTTCAGGTGTCCGCTCCAACTTAGAGTATCTAAATTTTTCTTTTTTGTCATTTCACATGTACAGCTAATGCTTGTGGGCTCAAATCTGTTGAACTGGCCCAGCCAATGTATCCAGGTAGTTAAGATCTCATTTGGAGTATTCCATTTGACAGTATACCTCAGCCTGAATTAGGGCTGTAGTTCCTTTAGTAGAGCATGATGAACAGAAAAGGTACCCAACTGGGGGTGAACATGAGTCAGTTATATGGATAAGATAACATTGCCAAAGCAGGTGGTTATTTCCTGCCTTCCTCCCTCCCAAAACAAACAAACAAACAAACAATTCCCCCTGCTATTGATCTTATGATTTTTATTTGAACGTTTCAATCAAATCTGTCAGTAGTGGAAGTTCTAAGTAACAGAAGTGGCTAGAAGAAATACTGGAAGCCAACTAAATTGCAGCTGATGTAAAATTCAGACATAACAAGATATTTGATTGATGGAAAAGCTCAAAAGTGGGAGAATTTTGCCAGTTCTATTTCGTCTTTGTACTTTTTTCATGCGTAATCATGACCAGCTTTTTAATAAAATCTCTCTCTGTCTTATCAGCCTCTTAGCTTAAAGACATATTGTGGTGTTCAGTTTATACCTCTATCCTGCAACTTTATATGTCTTTTTGTCAACGCAAAATACTCTCTTGTTCCTCATCAAAAATTTTATTACAAAAGTCATATAAACATAAAATGAAATAACATTATGCTGCCATGAAGCTACTGTAGATACAATGTAGTATGTGCTAGTGATTAAGAAGAGTATCAGAAGTAGAGCATGTTGAAAAGAAAATTCCTGTCCTCGAGAGGCATCCAATATTTCAGATTTAGTTTTGTCCTGCATTGGGATGTAAAGTCAAATTCTCAGAGTTCTTTTCCAAACAGTTTGCTTCAATCTTAGCAGAACATAGAATAGTAATTGAAATGATGATGTTGAAACAAAGTGCTTAGACTTTATTGAAACAAAATTAACTTCATTACAATCTGATTGAATCAAACATTCTGAATAAGAAGAAAATTTTAATAACCTGGACTTTTTTTTTTCACCTGGTGCCTATATGCACAGTAGATTGCTATTATTTTTTGATAATTTCAAGCCACACATTTTGAGGAAGTTGATATGTTTGTACAAATGTTTCAATTTAGTTGAATCTGTATTTTTCACAGACAAAAGCATTATGATGTAAATTTTTTGACCAGCTCTATACAGAAGTGATTTTGTAGGATTTCCCTTATGGCAATGAGTACACACACACACACACACACACACACACAACTTATCATCTAAGTAAACCTCATGTTTGTGCTTATTTTTCACAAAATCAAACATAGGTATGTATATGTGCATATATGTATGTGTGTGCGTATGTATGTATATGTGTGTATTTGGTTTTGTGAAAAATAAGCACAAATATAAAGTTTACTAAGATGATAGGTTTCTATGCTAGTGATTTAGAGAGAAAATAGAGAAGAAAACATTGGGCCACATTCTGGTCTAGTTACCCATAAAATCAGAACTGTGCCTAGAATACTCCTTATAAAGATATCCCCATCTTGTAGAATTGGAGGGATAGCTGTCCCTGCAATATTTTACCCCATCACAGCTGGACCTTGTGATAAGGTTTACATGAATCCATGATCAGTGCAGGGGAGGGGGACAGATGTTTGGCAGACCAGAAGAAAGAACGTGCAGACCCTAAGTAGGGTCAGAGAGCATGTATCATACCTCTGGTCCCGCAATCCTGGATTGAACAAGTTTTCCACAGAACCTCGTTTAGGCAACCATAGCCAAAGGGGATCCCTGGCAGCATAGCCATGCTGAAACTATGCCACCAGGGAGAAGAGAGCTCTTAGGGGCTAGAACAGGGGTTTCATAAAGTATGGGGGCAAGTACCACAGCCAGATCATATGACCAGAGGGGAAATGGTAAGGGAACAAATGTGTTCTTGATCTGACTTATTAGATTTATTCATTATTCTTTACACAGTAGCATAACTGTAAAGTGTGCTTTAGAATGTGCAAAATACACTAACCAAAGAACATTAACTCTGCTTCAAGAAGTTTCTTTAAAGAATAATACAATTTTTGCCCATTAACCTCCAATAAATAATGGTGTTATTTGTTGTGTACTTCCTCTGCCTATCCCCATCTCTCTCTGCATATGCAGTCCTTCCCCCATTAAACCTAACTCCCAGTTATTTAACAGCCACATAAAATCTGGGAGAATTAGGGGTTTTAATTCCAGGACATAATGTTTTTTAATAAGGTATTAGGATTTGAAACTGAATAGAATTTGTTATCTTTATTGTGGTCCTTAGTATTCCATGCCATTTCCATATATAAGCCTTTTCTTCATTTCTCACTAAAGTCCATTTCTGTCACAAAACTATGACAGAGGGAACAGGCAGGGGTGGATCCAGGGGGAAGAGGGGGTACACTGGTGCATTTGCACCCCACTTTGATTCCTGC